GTTTTTCTCTGACCATCACTGAAACGATGCTGAAATACTGTCCAGAGTGGATACAAAAATTCTCAACCTAAGAAATCCAGGTGAAACATATGTTCAGTACCTCTGAAATGAGCCATGTTTTTGGGGCTTGTTGCAAATTGAAAATTGGTCCCAGAATAATCTAAACCAATTCATAACATATCAACTAGATTTTAATTATCAAAATAAGCTTTACCAAGTCTATCTAACCTAAGAGCCACACCTATTAAAATATAAAGAATTAACCTTAGTGCCAAGGTGACAATTAAAACTGAAGAGAGGAATATAAAAATTATAAGCTCTCTCAAAAGCTTGAGTTTCAGTTACTGTTGTTAGCATAACTTCATATCAATCCTGCTGCTTTTGGGGGAAAACAGACAAACTCCATCTGAAAAAAACCCCAACCCCATAACTGCATAACTATAGTTGAAATAGTTTTAAAGTACAGACTTTCCATCTTGACCTTTTAGTTACCTTAGCTACTGCAGACTGACCGATCTTCCAAATAATCAGCCTCTCCTTATGAACTAGCCAGGCCCATCCACTTTCATCCACTTGAACGCTCAGCTGGTCATCAGCTACATAAAAAAGTAACTTCTTTAAAGCATTCAGATTTTTAAAATACTGCAGAGTAACGTTTAAACCAATAAACTTTCATTCTTATATGAAAATAAGAAATATTTTCTATTAAACTAGTTTTCATGTTAGAATTTCCATCTATCTGATTAACATATCTAATTCCTACATCTAGTTTAAAAATCCATTTGATAAACCCTCAACCTTAGAGAATGAAAAAACGCCAAAACCCATTTCCATGTATTTAGAGTAGATTATAATAGCTTTGTAAATCACTCAACAATTTTAACACAATTTTTATGATACATATTTGGTTCCTCTTGTATCTACTATAAAGGAAAAACTTATCCACAGAGAAAAAATTGCTCAGGAGACCAATTTCTTGAACTCAGGGAAAGGTCTGTATCACTAGAGATACAAACCTTTGGAAGAGATAACAAATGGGAATTGAAATAAAGAAAAATATTAAACATCCACTCTAGGACACAGCAAAATCAAAACAAGTAAAAAAGCTAAGGAAGAACCAATAAGTAAAAGCTACTAAAAACCTACTATTAGCTTCCCTTATACCCTTGTTTTTTCACAATAAATTGCATGAACAGCACCTGATGCATTCACATCCACATGGGCATTATTATAATTATTGTTACATAGATAACCAGGTTGGATTCAAAGCAAAGCACAGACCTTTATCTTCCCCTGTAAAGTCAGCATTTCAATGGCATCAATGACACGTTAAAAATTCTCTCACCTGTCAATTTTCATGGAGAAAAATAACATCAGTTCTTACCATCAGCCTTCTTCAGGGCTTCCATAACCTTAACAGGCAGAGAGGATCCAAAAGCCTTAACATCATAGTTAATAGTCTCAGTTGCTGTAGGAAGCTGGATAACTCTGGTAGGAGTCGCTCTTAAACAAAACAGAAAGTTACAGCTAACTTTTTATTGCTTATTCATCAGTTTCAGCTGACATTTACTTCATGAGTATCTCTTCAGAAACAGAGTTATATAAAATAAACATGCTTTATCTGGGAACACCACCTAGAGCAATAACTTGGTGGCTTTCTTACAAGTCGCTAGCTGTCATCAAATTCTTTATTTTTAAAGAACTGACTTTGAATATGCATTACTCCACCAGCACCAAACTCACTGTTCAACTTCTCTACACTGGTTATCTACAGAATAAAGACATTCACAATGTTTGTGTTGTCTTCTGAACACAATGAGGTGAGCAAATTTCTCTGCTTTTATAAGTTAATGTCCTCTTTTTATTTCTCTTCACAATGATGTCTCAGACCTCCCTGCGTAAAATAGCAAAAGTTGATTCATAGCTAGTGGACAATCATTGCACCTAGTTAGCAAAAATTATTAAGCAGGCTTGAAGTAACAGTTCTCCAAAACTGAACATGGGCAATCCTCTTTATCTCAACTACACAACAAATAGCTGGTCCCAAGAAAAGAGATTATGAAGCTTGAAACTGATCAGTACTGACTCATGCAGTATCTCAGTGTTGATCCCTATGGAAAGGGGATCAAACCGGCTCCTGCAGTATCTCAGTTTTGATCCCTATGGAAGGGAGAAGACAGGGGAAGAAGCTGGGGAGAGGGGTGGGTGTGAAATGCCTGAACTTAGACTATTTTATCTTCCTTATAAATACGGAAGTTCTTATAATTTTCATATATCATACTTGTATCACACAGGGACATTTCTGAGGAACCTGCGAATTCAAATACTAATAAGGGGTACCCATAACGCCGAACACGTGGTGCCGTATGTGTACGGCTTTAACGTACAGAACTATAATGTACCCCACACTGGCTCGGGCACCTAACAGCGGGCCGGGGCGGGACTCACCGCGCCGAGAGGGAGCTCCTCCGCGCCGCCGGCGAGAACAGCACCGGGGAGGCGGCTGCCGAAACGACGGGCAGGCCCTTCTTGCCGGCCGGCCGGGAGAGAGGGCTGGGCGCGGCGCTGCCCAGGGGCCTGCGGGCCGACCCGCCCGGGGTCCGCGGGGAGGCGGGAGTCGACGGGAACATGGCTGTGGATGCGGGAGCGGCACCGGCACCGCGCTCCCGCCGGGCGCCCGCTGAGCGCGTCACCGGGGGCGGGGCCGCGCGGGAACCGCCGGGAGCCGAGCGGAGCCGAGCGCGACCGGGAGGAGCCGAGAGGTGCCGAGAGGAGCCGAACAGAATCCGAGCGCGGCCGAGCGTGACCGGGAGGAGCCGGGAGGAGCCGGGAGGAGCCGAACAGAATCCGAGTGCGGCGCGGCCCCTGCCGGGGAGCGGCGGAAAGCCCGCGGCGGCCGCTGGTGCAGGGCAACCGGCCTGGCCCTGAGGGGGCGAATGGCGACCCGCGCTGCTCTTCAGTGCTGCCGGCACTCAGCGCCAAACTGAAACACGGTCCTCTCGCTCAGACCTTCCTGAAACTATGCTCCCTCCTTCGGGGCCTTCCCTTCCCTTTGGGTACCATGCCTTGCTGAGTTCCTGCCATTAGCTGGCACTAAGCAGCTGGATGTGATCAAAAAGCAGCTGTTCAAAGACCATTTGGAAGGACGCATTTTTCAGTAGGAGTTGCCTTATCTTTAAAATAGCCTGTGTATACCTGTGTTTGTTTCCAAGTTTCCAATTAAATAAATAAATATACAAATCCATATTTCGTGCAGACCTTGGTATGTTTCACATCTATGGTAAATAACAACCATGCACTACAGCTATTCTATGGTATAAAAATAGATTTTAGCCTTCAAGGGGAACTAAATGCTCAATGGAATCATTTGGCATGAAAAAGCTCAGAAATTATGTACCACCCTCTTGGGGAAGAAGTTGAGTTGAATGTATATTATCAACAGAGCAAATCAGTTAAGATAAAATTAACTAAAAAGAGAATATTAAAAAAAATCTCATCACTTTTCCAACTGTGTTCTTTGATAACAGATTCAGGGCTGTTAGGCTTTCTATGTGGATTGTGGTCTCCTATGACTGAACCCAAATGCAGATGAGAAACTTCAGATGGTTCATCTGGCAGGACTGACGTATGAAGCACCTGTCAGTGCTTTGTTTTTTTCATTCAAATAAGCTCCTTTGACTCTGATTTTATGCAAAAAGTGAAATACTAAAATTTAGTGGAGCATCACTATATTGCTACATTAATATAGTATCCTTCTATATAGCCTTCAGTATACATATGATGCTAAATCATCAGGTTACTGTCACTTCATCAAGAAAAACAAACTAAACCAAACCAGGAAATGCACACACAAACACGCAAATACAGAAAAATCTGGAATAAAATTCAGGATGACATCCACATTTCCCAACATTCATGATTGCTGACATTCAAATTATTTGAAAAACTGAAAGCTCTTCTTCACAGCTTGTTCCTAAAATATTTAAAACGATGCAGCATGAGCAGTTGTGTTTTGCTGATTGAACCCTATCTATATGCAGCTACACTTCCTCAGGGAATCAGTCGGCTTCCTTTGGCTCTCCCAGCCCTGTAAGAGCTCCATCTTCAGGAGAGAGATACAATTCAACATTCAAATCTCATTTTCTACACAGAAATAGTTTGTACTGATACCAATTAGAGACTTAACCAGTTCTTGACTGTCCCATAAATATCCCAAGGAGTTTTTTGAGTGGTTCTAACTCGAATAAAGTCTGCTAAGCAATGTACCTGCTATGACAAACATTTGCCTTTCAGTGGACTAGAGCTTTTGTGTAGCTTTTCCACTCTCTGTCGGCTGCAATAGCTGCCAGGAGAACTAATGAACAAAAGACATGAAACACTCATTCAGTTCAGCTGCAAGTAATTCCTGTAACCCGTGTAAATACAGGGATAAAGGGGCTCATTGGATCTCACATAAGGGGAAATTACATGAGTGAGGATTACAGATGCAAACCCTTCGCCATACATTAACTAATAGTCAACACGGAAGTTAAATATTGGGTCAGGACTATTTTTTGCCTATCTTTAGTACAACATATGCTTCTAGGAAAATTTTATCTGAAGATACAGTCACATCTGGATGTAATTTTATTTTTATTCTCTAATATTTCCACTATATTCCACAAGGTGCCATTAATGGCACTAACATCTTAAGCTTGCCTAGCACTAGTTATTTCAGCTATTGCCAATAAGGTCTTCCAGCAACAAGTTCTCCTAGCATGGATGAGTTTTAATGTGACCTGGGAAGTTTCTAGCTTTGTAAAATCTCCTTGTGGGGTTTTGCATCTTCAGAGATCCTGCTGAAAGAGGCTCTTCAATCAGAAATATGAGGCAAACTATTCATTGCCAAACATATTCCCCTGCAGTTATTCAAATTAATGTAATGCTGCTATTTTACTAGTTGTCCTTGAGAAGGTTGTTTACTGGTTGTTTCTAATAAAATAGTTAGGCAAAACTCATGATTTCTATCACTGAAATTTTAATTAACAATACAAAACTTACATATGCCTTTTAAAAGGACAAAAACATATGTGGGAGGGCATGTTCTTTCAGATGTCATCATAGAAAGGAAATGAAACTAAAGAAATGGGAAAATAGAAAAGGGAAGAAAACGCATGCAAATTTTAGATTTTCCTGTGTGACTCCATATAGTAATACACTTCCTTTGTCCTTTTGTAAAGTCAGTTTTTTTGTTTGGTTGCCTTTTTTTCCATTGGGTTGTTTGTTTTATTAAAGAACTTTCCTCCAACTTGTGCTTTCATACTCTCTAAAATGTGTTTTAATATGTAATTCTCCACAGGAACTGTAGATGGGGATCATAGTCAAGTTCAGAACACATAATCACATTTCAGAACAAAGAGCAGCTGGAAGCACAGTGCAGTGGAAGTCAGACAGAACTTTCAAAGTGTGTTAGTGTCATACATTTTTGAATTCCAGCATTTTAAGACTACTGACAAGCACAAAACATGAAAGTTCCTTGGAAAGAGAGAGACAATGATATGAAAATGATAAGATTGTCATTTAATTACCTTTAAAATACTAAACTTACTCAAGAATGGAGCACATCTTCATACAGTGCATTACAGGAAACAAGATTCTAGAGAGCCTCAAAGTAACACAAGCAGAAAAGTCTATGCCCTGAAATTATCTCAGTGTGACAGATATTTTTAAAAGTTACAATAGTTATTAAAAAGCTTTCAATAAAAAGTTTAAACACATTTAAGTTTCAAAAGAATATTTTGTACATTTTGGAAAAATATAACATTTACATAACTGAAACATAAGTTATAGTCTTTGAAGTTTGTAATTATTCATACATTGTCTCATACATTTTCTTTTAATATATCCTTTTCTCTGGATTGTAAATCCAATGCAAAAGTATCATTATTCTGAAGAACAGCTTGTTTCTGCATTAGTTTCCTGAAAAGTCCATTTGGATTTGCAAGTAGTTCCTCATGTTTCCCACATTCAAGAATTTTACCCTGGCCAAGGACTGCAACGGAATCAGCATTTTGAATAGTAGACAGACGATGAGCAATGATGAGGACTGTCCTCCCTTCCATCAGCCGGTCCAGAGCTTCTTGCACTAGATACTCATTTTCAGCATCCAAAGCACTAGTAACAAATGAGGTGGGGATGGGAGAGAGGAGGAGATTTGTTATTGTAAGGCAGGTTGGTTTTGTATGCATGAAGCTTATTTTGCCAAAACTGCAAACCCTCTCTATTTGTGGTGAAGATGAACCACTGGAACTGCAGGAAAGTTTAATGAACATGCTCAGTGCTCACTTCCAAGTTATAGGCATGACATATTCTCATATGCAAAAATAAGCATTGAGAAATAACACCAAAGTAGGTAGGTGGAAAAAAAATCATTTACACTGCACAATAATCCTATTTATTTTACATGAGGATCTAAGTTTAAACTAAAGATCCAAAGAAACCTTAAGCAGATGTTTCAAAATCATGTTACATATTATGGATGTAACTCCATGAAAAATCACAATGTACCAGCTATCCTTTCTGCTTTGCATAAACACCTTTTATTATAGGTTTCCTAAATAAGTCACACATTCTAGAAGGCACATTCTTTTTTGTGACTAGAGAGCAATAAAGGGCTAGATAATGTATAACGAGAAGAGAAGAGAAGGAACAATTCCCAAATCTGAGTTTTACAGGTACATAATTTCTAAGTTTCTTTTTCTTCTTACCTTGTTGCTTCATCTAACAGAAGAATTTTAGGATTCTGAAAAAGAAAGTAAAATTGGTTATAATAACAATTAAACAAGATCTGAATATTTATGTCAATAGAGAAGAGGATTCATATAGCTTAAAACTCCAAGTAAGAGTACCTACTTCATCAAAAGTATCATTCAAAGCATTACTTCTAAGAAATCTAAATGCTAAGAGGACAAAACAGAATCAACACTCCTCCATTTTCCAAATTTTCCAAACTAAAACAGCAGAGTACTATTCCTGGACAACCATTTGAAAGATACAAACTAAAGAGGGGAGATGATTTTTAAGGCATTCTTGGCAGCACTGTGGTCAAAAGTTCTACATTCTTATATGGCTCTTTCACAGAGGCTCAGCTACCCTCTGCTTGCAGTCAGTCTGCTATATAAAACTGTCTTAGTAACTGAAAGTAACAAAGCCCTACCAACAAGCAGTATTTCACTCACAGGTAAAACACACAGTACTTAAGAACTAGCATTTAAGAACTTCTCTCAGTTAGATTATAAAAAAAAAAAAATTGCCAGCACTCAAATCCCTTAGAAGAATTCACTACTAAATTACAGAAAATAACCAAACTTCCTTGATAAAGTTGAGAGTAAAAGCTTTACTCTTTATCTGGGACAGACAGGACTTCACTGCACCCTCAAATATCCCAGTATATCAACTACTCATTTATTTTTTATAACCTTTTTACTTCCACAACATTAAGTCTTTAATCCCATGAACCATATAAAATGCATGGCTTGAAATACAATCCGCTTTTCAGCATTAGTGGTAAAAGAGAACAGGTGTAATGAAATTCCTATTAATCTAGCAGAACTGGGCATGCCAGGATGCTACAGACACCTGTGTGGCTCAACATGAATGTAAACTGTGTTCAGCAAGGATCAAAACTTCCAGCTGAGCATCAGCACCAAACTGCCTCCTTGCAAGGCCCCGTGGCTGTCCCTGAACCAAACTGTCTGTTGTTCTGATCCTCAGAAGCCCCCTCAAATTTGTGCAGCACAGAGCCTGCCCTGAAGCTAGACTCACACCAATCTTCAAAGAAACACATGACACTACATTGTGCCTGAAATATCACCTTGGTCCAAATCCAGGCCACCTCCTCTCAAAGCTAAGACAAGGCATCTGAAGTCCTAGTAAACTGCAACCCGTAAAAATTAACCCATGAATGATAGAGATCTGAACAAGACATGCCATATATGTGTTTAATAGCATCACATTCTTAAAGTCTTCCTTCATCCTTGACCTCATCTTATGGAAATGGGCCATTTTACAATGACTTAACATCAGTCTTGGCAAGAACTATCAAAAAACATGGCTAAAATATAGGGAGAAGCACTGACATTAAAAAAGTTGTCATTAAGTCACTCAGCCCTTCATTAACATAAAAGATACAGTTTTCCCTTTTCAAAATATCTTCCTACCTCTCCCATTGAAATACCTCCTCCTTTTTAACCTCCTGCTTCCCCCCAAGAAGTAATTAAATAGTTGGGTGCTGGCTTACTTTGAGCAGAGCTCGAGCAATTGCAATTCGTTGCTTCTGTCCACCTGGGAAAAAATAATCAGTAAACTGAAACAGGAAAACAGATGTCAGGTAATTTTAACTGAATGTCTGGGCTGAGCAAAATTAGGTCCATGTAATTTAGTGGAGAATGGAGGTAAGGGGTGGATTCTCTTAATACTTATGGCAGGCTACAGCTTGGAGAAAAAAGTGGTAACAAAAAATGATGGCATTTTTACATCACTCAATAGCATAAAGATTTTTAAAATAAGCAAGATAAAGACGTACCTGAAAGCAAAATTCCTTTTTCTCCAACTACAGTGTCATACCCTTTTGGAAAATCTCTGATAAAACTAGCAGCATTAGCTATTTCAGCAACTTTCTGAATCTCCTCTGCAGTCACAGTAGAAGGATCCTCTGCACCATAGGCAATATTTTCAGCAATAGAACAGGAGAAGAGAATTGGTTCCTGACAAATGCAAACACATAACTGATATGGTAGATCTGTAATTGCGTGCATGTGTTATCTAGTATGTCAGATAACATAAATCCCACTTACAAGACCCCACCTACAATATCCATAAAAATAATACATAAGCTAGAGTTAATTGAATAAAAGACTAATAAAAAACCTCCTCCCCTAACACCACCGTGGACAGTGAAAACCAATTAAAAATTAAGTTGCTTTTTTAACTGACAAAACATAACTCTCAATTCCTAATATTTTAGGAAGAGTTTAAGAAGAGCTATACATTCAAAAATCAAAAGCCCTTCCTTTGTATTTTGCCTCATACAATCACAATGGAAGGGATGGAGCACCTATCCTGTGAGGGAAGGCTGAGAGAGATGGGGCTGTTCAGCCTGGAGAAGAAAAGGCTCCAGAGGGACCTGATGGTTGTGTTACAGGACTTAAAGTGGGGGCTCTAAGATGGAAACACTTTTTAGCAAGGCCTGTTGTCATGGGACAAGGGGTGATGGTTTTCAACTAAAGGAGAGTTGGTTTAGATTAGATACAAGGAAGACTTTTTTACAATGCAGGTGGTGAAACAATGGAAGAGGTTTCCCAGAGAGGTGGTGGATGCCCCATCCTCAGAAACATTCTAAGTCAGGTTCATTCAAGCATGGGGCTCTGACCAACCACATCTAGTTGTCCCTCCTCAATGCAGGAGGATTGGATTAGATGAGATTTAAAGGTACCTTCCAACCCAAATTATTCTGTGATTTGCAACAATGATGATTCTTTTCTTAATCTCTACACAGATTTTATGGCATTATGTGCATTTAATTTATATTCAAGCTTGCAACAGAGAACTGTGAGATAGGACAAGTGATGTACAATGGGAAAATGTCTGAAACAAGGTAAGTGAGCTCTGTCTAAAAAGTAGAGTCATGTTATTTCAATACTAGTATTGACCTCCTACTGGTAATTTAAATGGAATAGATTCTTTCAAAAAGAAAAATGCTAATATGCCAATAAGAAAATAATTTTTGCAGAAAAGCTTTTGGTTGCATTATTACATAAAGAAGTTGTTTTGAAATGCAACAAATACCCAGTTACTCTTATGCTTTTAACCAGAACATCAGCCTAACAGTTAATTGCATTGTGAAGTATCTGGGGAGACGAGAGAATGAACATTTTAATTGATGAAATAGCTTATTTTTAAGATGCCATTGACTTCCAGAGTCTGGAGGTTGCTAAGAAGGTGGCACTATAAAATAAGTGCGTGCTACCTGTGCTGTATTTTCATGCTTTCCTAATGGAGATTATGGTTTCCTGGAAACTACTCAGAGCACAGAAGGTCAGTTTTTTAAATGGCTGTGTAAAATATGATTGTATGACTTTTATGAATACAAAAGGTAATTAAGTGTTAAGATTTTTGTTACTTTCTTCAACAAACTGCAGCAAGCATTAGGTTGGTCATACCTACACAATTTACAGCAATCTACCTTCCAGTCTCCACCTGCACACTTTTCATCTAAACTAACATTTTGGATCTCTGTGATTATGTAAAACCAGACTACAGAATACTGGAACTAGCTCTAAATACTTATTTTTAGGACAAAGCATGTGCAACAGCAGTTATGGTGAGATGGAGGGATTTCACTGAGAAGCAAGATATTGGCTTTTTTAAAAAGAAAGAAAGTGAGGAAAAGCTAGCTGATCACAAAATTTCATCCACTTGGATTTTTTTTTCTTGCTTACCTGACTTACTGTTCCAATCTTTGTCCTGAACCACAGTGGATTTAACTGACGGATATCAAAGCCATCAACGGTGATAGTACCTTAAGTTAGGAAACAGTGAAGTCAAGTGTGTTTGACACGTACTGAAAGAGTCTGAAGGAACAGCTGAGAATGACAACCCCTGGGGAATACACACTCTATGGTGAATCAGAAATGCAAAGCTATGCAGGCACCACCACAAGGTAACAATACACCCCAGAAGGAGACATGGACCTCAAGCACAAGAACCCCAACTGTTTATAAGGCTTATCTGAGATGCAAAGCATTAATTATTGAAAATGAGAGCAACACACAAACCATACCTGAGATAGGATCATACAGCCGCAGCAGAAGGGATACAATCGTTGATTTCCCTGTACCACTTGGGCCAACGAGAGCCATAACAGAGCCAGCTGGAATGGAAAGGCTGAAATCTTTGAAAATTGATACTTCTGGACGTGTTGGATATGCAAATTCAACATTCTTGAATTCCAAAGCACCTCTGAATACATCTTTGCCTAATGTGATTCCCTCTATAAAACAAAGAATAAAATACAAAAATGTGAATAGAAACAAAAATTAGCTCACCCCTCCTAGAACTTGCTTTACAGACACTCAATAGAAGTATCTATCTCCACATTCAATCTATGGATAACTGCAAGCCACAATTCAGGATCACAGTGGTTATATTTCAGCCATGAGTGAATCAGTGTGGTATACCAATCATTCCTAAATGCAATTTCAGGTTGGTCACCAGCACGGAACCTGTAGGCTACCTACAGCAAGAGGGAGATTTTGCATCTTGCTAATACCTAACCACTAACAACAATCACTTCTCATAGAATTATCTGAATTAGTGAACATACTGTAAACAATTAAAGCTTTGTCAATTAGGAGCAATGAAATAAAAAGGCAATTGGTGAAGGCCAAAGTCCCGTTGCCACAGAACACAAAAAGATAAACATTGCAAATCATTTACTGCCCTTTCACCGAGCCAAAGTCACCTGAAGCACCCTCCTCTGAACAAGAAGAGTTCCTGTCACTGGAATAAAGCTGCTGCTGGGTTTGTTGCACTAACAGACAGTTTTTAGTTTTATTTTCTCCTTTCAGTGGAAAGCATATTTAATAAATTCAAATACCAGTCAGAGGCCTAATTCTTGGGCAACAGTTCACTGAAATGAAAATTTCACTTTGTGAAATTTTCCATCAATGAAACCACCATGAATTAACAACTACCAAAGTTAAATAAAACCAGTTTCTTTCTGGAACACAGCATTTGACTTAAACAAGTATCTTAATATCATTACTAGAAAAAGCTGATAAACAGTTAAGACAAAGACATTTTTTCAAGCCCTGTTAAAACCCAGCGGCACATATCCATACAAAGCAAATTAACTGGACAGTGGGGCTGCATTCTCAAAAGATGAAGTTCCCACCAACTTTGTAAAAACTGGCAGTACTAGAGCAATACCCGAGTCATGCTTGTTTGTGCTGGAGAAGCACAGCTCAAACCCTTAATTCTTTTCAGATGCAGCACACAAGTAACTCCCAACCAGCCATAGCATAGGGTAGCACATGCCAATGTTTGGTTAAACAGTGACTGTGGATAGGAAACAAAGACACCCATCAGTAGCAATCAAGATTTCACTAGTTTTCCTCTTTTTTTCTAGGTTTCTATTTCTTCTCCAGGCTTTCAGTTTAATCATAGTAGCCTTGGAATGGAAAAGGCAAGAGCATACAATTCCAGATTACTTCTCTGACTTTAACCAATGGACATACACACTGTAATGTTTCCACAATAGCCTGTAAACCTCCTTTTCAGAAAAGAAATGTGTTTGCTAAATCCCGTGTTAGCAGCATAATCCTTATTATTACCACAGCAGCAAGTAATCACTTAAGTCTCAGCTGCAGTTATTGCACAGTCTATCCATGGCCTGAAACACTGAATCTACTGCAATACAGGTAGTCTGCTACCACAAGTCCTTCCTCTATATATCATTGTAAAAATATCTGAAAGCTATGTACCTGTCTCTTGTTTGGATTGTAGACACAAGAAAAAAGACACTATTATTTTTTCCCAAGATATCTGCTGTCACCAGCAACAACCAGAGTTCTGCAAAAATAAAATCTTGCCCCCTCAAATAAAGAAGAAATGTGGGTAGCATTACTGCAAGGAGAAATGTGCAAATCACTCCAAAAGCAACACCTGCTGTAGTTGCACATCCATACTATTCCAAGAAGCAGAACTCCCTCTATCAGCTGTACCCTTTACTTCCTTTTATTCCCTAGTCATGCTTCAGTCCCTGATTCCTATGGCAGAACAACCCAAAAACTCAGTTTAGTATGTGTTGTTGAAAGGCCTCAAATTGTGTGTTTGCAAGTTAGGATTCATATCAACATGTCTTACTATGGGCTGATTTTCACTGGATCAGTATGAAATGTTTAAGCTTGCAATACTCCTAATGAAAACCACCTGGTTTTGAAAGCTTCTCTGATCATTTCTGAGCCATTAGAGATGAGCATGGTAAACTGTTCAGTGGAAATATGAGATACAGCCATCTCAAAGAGCTCCTCCCTCCTCTCCTTTTTCTTCTTTCCACTCTTTTCACTCTAAAGCTGAATCAAGAGGAAGTAGTGATGACATCAACAAGAAATTCCAAAAAGCTAGAAATGACCATGTCCTCAGTCACATAAATTAGAAAGTAATATGATTCAAAATCATATTCTGAATTAAATAAATAAAAAATAATTAAATCAAAAGTAATTAATTAAATAAGCTTTTGGCTCTAAAATTTTTATTAAAGAAAATTTTCATCATCTGTTTCATACTTAGGTAAAATCAGAAGGATTATGATTTTTTTTTACTATATTTAGTTTCTTTGAAAATTATCTAAGTCAGTACTACCTTTAAGTGTTACACACACCATTCTAAAGTATTGCTGACCTATAAGACAAAATCAACCTTTAAACAGTAACAAACCAAGAACCTACCATTAAATGGAAGTTGGGGCTTCCTTTCAATAAGTTCCCAAAGACGTCCACCAGCACCTAGTCCTTTCATAAGCTCAGAATAAAAGGAACTTAGACCTAAACAAAAAGCAGAACAGTATTATGCATCCATATGCAATGGAAGACATAGAAGAGATAAAATTAGCATTACACTTTTCAGCACCAGCATTGAAGGATCAGATGTGTAGAGAATCTTTTATTCCAACAAACTGTTAAAAGTGTTAAATCCTATCTAGTCTCATTTGAGAGCTGCCAATAACCCTTATTCACCATTCTTCTTTATATCTGTAAAACAAATCACTCTGAAGAAAAGAAAATGTTAATACACTCCAGTTTATGTGTATACACTACAGCCTTTTCCATTCACCTGTCAGGAAGAACAGCATCCAACTTTAGGAAAATGGCTTTGCATTCAACCAGCTATATTCCCAGATCATTCAGTAGGACAGAGCATTCTGAATGCTCTTCTTTGTCAGATAGGTTTACACTAATACAGGGGAGCCTGGCTGAGTCAGCCACAGCAGAGAGGGGGCACAAAACCCAGGGCTGAAGTGATGCTTGAGAAGGTGTGTGGAGAGTGGACAATGGAAAGAAATGTGTCTCCCATGCCAGAATACTTCAAACAGTACTGAAGAAAGCAAAAGCTAAGGATGAGGCCTGCACATAGTTCTGGGTCCCAGCTCTTAGCAGATGTGTGAATCATCTTGAAAGTAGCTTGGTTGAAGGGCTTTCCAGCTGATATAAACACAAAAACTAACACAGAACCAAAAATGGAGTAGTACATAGATATAAGATGTCCAGTTTCTTAAATTTTTGTGTGCCTTTAAAAAGAAAGACACCAATTTCATGATCTTTGAATTCCTGGAAAGTGCTTAAGAGTTATTTCAGGAGGGCAGAAAAACAAAGGTGCATATAGAAATATGTATATTTAAATATATATATAATGGATTTACTGGTTTACTTTTGCAGAGCAAGAAGCTCAGCTCAAGTCTGTAAGTGAAAGCAGGGTGCTTCATCATGGTGCTGCTGAGGACTATCTGAAAGTTTGCAACTCTAGAGCCATGGTGAGAAGCTGTCTGCTTGGAAAAAAGAGCCAAAGAATCACATCCTAGAGCATAAGCCTCACAGAGCAACTTTGAACTCAAACACTGAGGTTTGCAAATCCACAACCACTCATAAATAAATCATTATATAATATGGACAGCAAACACAAATTAGAAAACATTTCTGTTTTTCATAACCCATGTCCTGTGTTTGGAAGAAAACACAGCAAACTTACAACAAAGAGGGGCAAAGTCACAGATTATGCAGTGAACTTCACAGCTGTTGCATCGACTCCTATATATATTGATGACATATACAGAGCAGACTTAGCCCTTGGAAGATTTTTATGCCTTGTAGGCATCTGGGAAGGCAGGCCTCTTGTGGCAAGACACCTCTGCTTTAGAGCCCCCATGAGAATGAGCTCTGTGCAGAACTACATTCTACAATAATCTAACCTAGAATTTAAAAATATGTTTTTATAGCAAATGAAAGTTAATTCAATGATATTTTTAGCAGTGCTTCTAATCTTCGTTTATTTAATATTAGCTTGCCCTATGTTTTCAAAGTGTCAGGTATCTTTTCATTGACCAAACTTCAATGATTTAAGCAGAGAAGAAATGAGGCTGATAGGTGGAATGGGTGCCATTGGAATTTTGATATACAAAGAAGCAGGTTTGTTAAATTTTGCCTTCAAGCACATCTTTGTGCTCCCTGTGATATCAGGCCTAGTCTTAAAAAAGAAAAAGCTGCATTGCCCTCCTAGTCTATCAGAATGAACAGGCTCATTTTAAAGAAGAATGCTTCCAGTAAATTGTAGAGCTTCTGAGCAACTTATCTTCATTTTTGCCTGTATGCAGCCATGAAGACAGCTCTGACAAAAAGATGAACAGCTTGTTGCTGGGCCAGTAGATTAGTGTGTGGGCTTCCGGGGGGAGTCAGTGAGTAAGGAAAACCAGAAAGTTAGCACTCAGTGCAGTATTCTGCTGGCACTTTGTTTACTCTTCCAGTTGAGGACACTCTATACTGAATTACAGCTAAATGTTACATGCCTTTCTAAATTGAGTATGCTTAACATAGACCCAAATATTTTATTGCTTTACACAATACAGCAGGTATCTTAATTTAGACCTTAATAAAATTAAAGTAATATATACTGTCACATGCACACATTGAAAAAAATGACCTTTCTTCTGGGGAAAAAGAAGGCTTATATTAAGTTACAGATTATTATTTTCATTAACTCTTCAGAAAAAGAGTAATTTCTTGAGAAGTTCATTTGGAAGACTTTTTAAGAAAGTCAGATTTTTAAAGAGCTTCTTCCTTCCCACCCCTATAATGACTGTAATGCTTTGAAGTGAAGAAAATGTATTTTCCCATTCCATACCTCCAATGCTTATGCCAACCCAGAAAGCATACATTAGGAAAGAGGAGAGTTCACCAACTGTCATGTAGGCACTGCCCATTAGTAATCCTCCTTTGTATAACACTGAGAGGACAATTAAGTTTCCAGAAAGGCCAGTCTAAGGAAAAAGGAAAAGGCAGATTTTGTCACATACATCTTAAATTTCATCTTCTAAAATGTTGTTTCAGAACTTTCCTTGTAATGAAAAGAACTCTCACACTATAGGTATCTAGACTTTTGGAGGACTGAGGTAAATTCAACAATTCTAATGTAAAGCCAGCCAACAGCCAGCCAGACATCCATGGCACTGTGCTATCCAACAAGTGTTCAAAAAGCAAGCAGCTCTTTTTTGGCTTTTTTTTTCCCCATGGTGGAAAGGAACACTAAACATTATTCTCAACCATCATTACCAAGGAAGAATTGATAGTCTGCAGTTATGTTCCAGTTTTAGAGTTCAATTAGACAAACAGTTATGGAAAAATCCAAGCCTTCCTCCCCTACCTGTGCACTCCCCACCTTCCTATGATTGATGCTCCTCTCACTGGGGAGCCAAACCTCTAAATGCTAAGGGTAGGGGAAGGTCTCCACTGGTTTCATTCCTTGAATAGAAGGTGTGGCCTCAGATAAGTAGTCCCCTGCTATGGGGTGTGGTGCAGAAATTGAGGCTTATAGTGACTTTATCATACTGTTTTATCTTGAGATGCAGTTTCACAGCAATTTAGGCTTATTTAAGTCCAGTCTTCCCACAGTTTTACATGTTCAATTTATTCTCAATCATTTACTTGCAGATTTTTAAGTATCATAGGGAGTTTTAAAATAATTGACACTTTGCATAACATGGTTGGCTTACTTTCATTAAATATACTTACTGCTCCAAAGAAGCCTGCCCGAGCTAGTGCCTCTTTTCTAGCCAGCTGTAGCACATAATCAACTTTATTTGTATACTTCTCCATTTCAGCCATTTCTTGCCCAAAAGCTCGAACTGTTCTGATGTTTCCAATACGCTCTTCAGCTAACTGCATTGAAGCAAAGCACAAAACAGATCCACAGAGACGCACAATTTGAAATGCTCACATTACAGATCACCTGAAAGTTAAACCAATATCACTTCACTAATCTACATATCTTTGGATAGCACTGGAAAATTTCTCATGCCTTCCTCTCCCCACCCCAAACCCCATTTTTTAAATTCTATTAAGTTAAAAGCAAACTGCATGCCCAGGCAGTTAAAAAAAAAACCCTCAAGACTGTCTTAAGTGCTAGCAGAGACAGAAAAATATAGCAGTAGGGTTAAAAAATTTGGTGTGAACAACACCCATAGGGAAGTTACTATTCACAATATGTAATAAAAATGTGGGAAGGGAAAAAATAAAGATTATCTGTTCCATACCAAGTCATGAAAAAAGCCTGCAGTTATTTCCTAAAACAATTCCACTCATTTGATCAAAGCAATGCTGGGAATTAATTTAGCCCAACTGTGAATGTCTCGTTTCAACTTAGTATTTTAACTTCTAAACAGCAAAGTATTAATTCTAAAATACCTCAATTGTAACCAATTACACTAAGTTGTTAATGGACATTGTGATGGTCTTAGAAAAAACAAGTTCCCCTTTTGTAAGTAAAAGTATGATACAAACAAATAATTCTCCTTCTTTCATCTCCATTCAACCTGAAAATTTGAATGGAACACAACAATTGCTTGTTCATTTGAAGTCCCAGACCTGGTTTACAAAGGCACGAGCTTCCCACCAACATAGTCTGAAGAAGACAAACAGAAGAGGGCTAATCTTCCTTTCACGCAGTTCTACAAAGGACATCCCAAGTTTATGACACCTGGCAACTGTGACTATTTTAACTACAGCTTTCCTAATTATATTTCCATGCTTTATAATAATGTTTCCCCATGCTAAGCCTTTGAGGAAAATGTTTAAGAAATAGGCCCCATAAACATTTAAGAGCTGACAGTAAGATCAAGCATCAGGGATGCACTTCAGAGATGGACTTGCTAGCAAAGGAAGCATTCATCTAGTATGCTCCAGATAGCTTCAAACTCAAAACCATAATCCAAGTGGTTTCCAAATCCAGGTACCAACTTCCACAGGACTTCATAGGCTGATTTTTTTTTTTTTTCTCTCACAAAGCTAAAGCCTAAGCTTCTTGTAATTTCTTACATTTCCAAATTCTCAAGGCCTAGTATCTCAGTGTTATATTGCTACAAAGGAAGCATGATTGTTTTTGAGGTCTCTGAATAAGTGTTACTGACATTTACCTGTCTTACTACTCAGGTGCTAAACTACAGTGTCAGAACTAACAGTACAACTGTCTTCAGAAGATCTGTAACTTTTGAGATATTAACTTAAATACATTAGAGCAACTTTAAAGTTAACTGGAAAGGTTACCTGTGTTGCTTCTGCAAGAGAATCTTGAGTAACTTTAGTAAGCTTTCGCAAGTATCTGCCATAAATCACAGCCAGGACAGCCAAGGGTGGCACAATGCTCAGAACAAATGCAGCAAGGCTAGGGGAAATAAAAAACTAGAAGAAAAAGGTATTGTCAGAGTTTAGCATTCAGATTAAAAATAATCCCTGGAGTACTGAAGTGCAATTTTGCTTGCTACATTTCTAAAACTAGTAGGGATTTAGTGCTGCCATGCTTTCATTTATCATGTTTTAATTTTTTTCCAGGCAAAATATCCATTCTTTCACAGCATTTGGGAAGTTAGAACAAAGGACTATAGACAAAGCCATCTGGATTTAATTTCTAGCTTTCTCACTGGTTCTCTGTGTGGTCTTAGTCAAGCACCTTAACCTGCCACTAAACAGGCCTACAGGAAATCTCTTGGGGATGCTGAAAGACATAAGCTATTACACAGTTTCTAAAGTGCTTTCACAACTATTAAATAGATGGTGTAATACAGAAGCTCTGAGTAGAGAAATATCATACAGTACTTCTGGGTAACTGAGGAACAGATAGAGTCACCATTACTCCCTAGCATCCACAAATGGGTGGAACAGGGTATTTAATTTATTGCTGCAAAACTTATCACTTGTAATGATCATTGCTTCTAATGAACCTAAAGAGGTTCTCTTCATAAGATTTACTGACTTTAGATCTAATGTGTTTTAATTTCAGCTTGCTTTCTCTATTGAAAACAAAAATCTCCAGAAAGATTCAAAATCAACATAATTGATAGGCTTTATAATTATTTAATAATAATATCTTCTTCCTTTCCTTGGCAAACTTATATAGTACTCCTCTTACAACCATGTAATGGCAGTATTTTGGAGCAGGATGCGTTATATAAAGTTATCTCATTTTATCTATGGTAAGATAAAGCCTTAGAGTCCCTTTGTAAGACAGCACAGAAAGCCATTCTTATCAGTGACTAAATATTAAAGCTTTGAAGTTTCATAGTGGAAACTCTTAACAGTTTCTAATAATGACAATATTGGATGCTTATTTTTATGAGGAGACTATTTGCTGTCTGTTTTTAATTCCACACAGACAGCAGAAATTACCACACCAATGCATAAGCTTAAAAAAAACTAAGGCCACAAAAAAAAAAGCCCTCAAGAGAAGTCAGATGTTCATGTAATCCAACTGACCACCAAGGAATATTGACTGATGCCCTGCCCTGTTAATGGAAGCCTCCATTAACAAGGCTCCTACATAAACATATTCTTTACTGACAGACTCAAGCAGAAAGACTAATACTTGTAAAAATCCTTGGCATTAATTAGATATGCAGTGCTGCTTTTGCTTAACCAGAATCAACCAACTTAAATGATTTCCTATCAGGCCCATTACACCATATTTTACCTGCAACCATGGGAATGTTATCACTGATTTTAGTATCTTCAGTAAGAATGGAATTCAGCAATTTGCCTACTACATTTCGCTTGGTAACTTTGGGTAGAAACAGTAGGTAATATCCATCATCATCCAAATTTTGCTTCTGAGTAAACATCAAGTGGCTGGCTACAGGCACATCACCTACTGCAATAATCTCTGCATCTGTTGTAGATAACCAGTGAAATACACTCATACCCAAGAGCACACAATTGTTACTGGTCTGACTCACACTCACCTAATAGAACTGAAACAAATGTGAAACTACATGTAGTGTCAAGCAAGTAAGAGACCACCATACCATCATTCCAACCCCCACAGACGCTTGTGCTCCTGCCCTGAGCCCATCAGAAAGGTTTTCAGTCACTGAGCGGCCCAAAAGGGCTGTATCTGAAGATAAGCGGTTTATCAGCTCTCCTGTTCTGGTCTTGTCAAAGAAAGCCGTTTCTTGCTTCACAATAGAGGAGAACATGTTTGCTCTCAAACGTTTCACAATTCTTTGTCCTGTCAAAAGCATAAGTCAGTCAAGCATGACACAAGAGACTTTACATAGACACCAACAATATAAAAATCACAGGACTGCACAGCATCGAACAAGGCATGTTACAGGGAGTAGAGTCTGGTAAGATGTGTTAGATGAGATCTTTAAGATCTCACCTAACAGCAAATAAAAATGAGCAATCATTCCAGCATACTTATCTTTGCACTATTAGTTTACCTTTGCTCTGGTTAAAAAAAGGTACTGATTCCAAAATCATCTCTTGGCCATGGCCAAAAATTTGTTTAAGATCATTAGATACCCTGACTGCAAGAAACAAGATGACTCTCAGTACCACTTTTGCTTCTGTTTTTACCTGCAGTCTGCATGAGGTAGACACGTGTAGCATTAGCAGCAGCACCACATAAAAAGATTCCACTCAGCAAGGCACACAGGCTGGTCAGGCTGTCAGTGAAATTCTCACTGGGATTTGTATAAATAATGTCGATAACTTTCCCCATAAAGAAAGGAGCTGACATGGTAATGACACTGGAAACTGCCAGAAAGCCAACAGCAGCTGCAAATCAACAAGAAAAAGGAAAGTTATTCTGAACTTACAAGATCGTTAATAGTACAAATGAAATGATTTTTCACTTGAAATTTCTATTAAGCTTGCAAGTGCCAATTGAAATAATCAGCAGTCTTTGACACCCAGTGAAAGGGGTATTTTAAGCCACTGTATAAATTAACTTAGGCAAGGCATATTTTAAGACTCTGAAAAGCCTCTGTATACAATCACAGTCCTGGAATCGCTTTTCTTGTCTAATCTTCAACAGAACCAAAAAGGTTAACTTTCCACAGGTGTCACCCTTAGAGAACATTGACAGTTACCTAATTCTTACACACAATCCTTCAACTCCTGTTTGGTTTGGGTTTTATTATTCATGCTTGTCACTGTATGGAAGCTTCCAGTTGTCTGTTTTTGAGGTAGCAATGGACTGAAGTAAAGATCTGATCTGAGAACTATGCAATTTTATTGGGGAAAAAAACCCCAAACAAAGCAGAAACCAAAATAACCCCCAAATTTGATTTCTTCTTAACTGAGAAATTTTAGAATTTATTTTAATTTTAAATTTTATAAACATTCATTTAGTTTTACTCTTCACTATTGTTGGTCTAAAAGAAAAATAGTGTAAGTCTTAATTAGAAGTACATTTGCTGATGAGCAGAGCTCTTGAATCCCAGGTGCAGGATCAGCCATGGAACAGCCTGTATAGCTTTTTGAAGGTGTATCACAAAGTATGAAAATTACACTGGACCACAACTTAGTCTGTTGAACTTAAATCTGCAAAGAAATTTCTTGAGCCAAGAACAAAGTTTAATTTTAAAAAGTCAAGCCAAGCTTGGAAGACTGAGAGCTAGAAAAAACCACATCTTAATTGAAAACTGAACAAACTTGATATGAAAACCACAACAAACAATGACATTTATATAGCATCATTTTCCAAGAACCAACCACACACTTACAGCAACCATTCATAGGATTGCTGCAAAACTACTAGCAAATAATGTCTCTGAAGACAAAAAAGCATATTGTGCTGAAAAAGTCCTGAAGTTTAGATCCATTCTACTGAGCTTCTTGTATCACTTCTGTGATGAAGACAGCAGCCAGCCTCCCTATTGCACACTGCTGTAAGCAGTATTTCTAACACCTGACAGGTGGTTTGATGCCTCTTACCACCTTCACACACATGGAAAGCTTTGTTTCAGTTTGTTCTTGAGGTGTAAATACAATAGTGTACTTATAAGGAAGAATTCAGTGTACAAAAAATGCATAGCTGAAGCCTGTCCCTCTTAGCCAAGATTTATTTGTAATCTTTCCCTTGTGTTACAGTCCAGCCAGCAAGTGTGTGAAAGATACAGGATTTGGATCTTTAATTTGAAGCTATAGAAACTATAAGAAACCAGAGGAGAAAGTGAAAAACTTTCTGGTGCAAAATTATTGATCTATGCCATAGGCACATCTCATAAGGACATTACTTATTAGCTAAAAATGAATGACATTATTAACAGCCTGGCAGCACTGGTGATTCAAGCTGTGAAGCAGCAGGGAAAAATCCAATAAAACCCAGGTTATTTCCTGTCAGGAAAAGCTGGTTGGTCTCCAAGGCAGCTGGAGATGGACAAAAGCATTGATTATAAGCACAGTACTGCATGCCAGCTCAGTCTCCATGAGTCCAGACAATTTCTCAGTTATGGATGGAACAGTACATATGAACTGCAGATATAAATATTCACAGAAGGAAGAGGACTGTACAGCTAAACTCCTAATATGTTTCTGTCTGGTGGCTTGAATTTATCTTCAGTTCTTCTTCATTCAAACTAGCACAGGTTTCACTGTAATTACTTCCAACAGCCATAACTGTTGAATGAAAAGCAAATACTACTATCTAAAGCAAACTGAAAACTATTGAACTAAGCAACATACATGTCTTCATTAATTTAATCACAAATCACATGTACAATAAGGTTCCCTAACTGAAACTCTCACATTGATTATGCCAGCAGACCAAGTAGAAAATAGCACAGTTGCCAAGTGGCTGCTCTTTTTTGTTTCTTTTGAAATGTTGACTAGTTGAAAAAATAGGAACCAGCGAACACTCATTGCATAGCCTCCTTCAAAGGAGCTGTCATGGTGATAACTGACTAAAGGGAGGAGTTCCATGTGTTCAGCAACCAGATATGAAGACAAGCAAGTGACACTGAAGGTTGCTGCTGATAGAAAAAAAGGTCAGAGTAAACTCTATAGTATTAGTTTCACATGGCTTATTCTGTTATGCAGAAAATGACATCAAACAAAGACCCACAACACACCCTTCTATTTTTTAAAGTAATTTTTTGGTAGGCTCTGACATGACAGTAAAGAAAATGTGAGGCAGATCAGTGGAACTTATAAAACCAGGACTTCAAAGTTTCTTGGAAATATTAGGCAAACATTTTGCTTGTCTACTTGCACAGAAATCCAGATTACTGCACAAAGTGATGCCTTTATCACTACTAAGATCAACACACTCTCTGTTAAGGCCAACATGGCTTACTTCTTGACAGCAAACCTGCAACTTCCTAAGAGGATGAGGTTGCCAACTGATAAGCCACAATATTTATAAGCAATAACTAGGCAGAGCTATCAGAAACCTCTCTTCAGAACCTAGACTGACTCCAAAGAATCATAAAGTAATTTTCTACTCACAAAAACAACACCAAGACAGTGAATGTTTCTAATTTTGCTAGTTTTAACCAGAGCACCCTTCTCACCCACTATAGTATCTGGAAGTGTATGAAGAGAAAATACTTGCAAGCCTGTTTGGTGAGGGGCTGTTTTGAAGACAAATACATAAGGATTTTACCACAGATGAATTAAGATCATCCAAGCCATTCAGGGATGAAAGACAGAAAAATGAGGTATTGATGAGATCTGGCAGGGCATAGTAACCCAGCAACAGGTCACAGGAGTTAGATTTTACTATTCCATAAGCTATGAGTATTACTTCCTGAAATCTTTTACCTACTGTACTGGTTTCATTTAAATATGGAGGGCTGGTGGGTCAGAAAAAAGCTTTGGATTTGTGAGGAATATCTTTCTACCAGTAACAATGAATGTCTATCCTTTATCAGTTATCTGTGCAGTTTTACTTAATATGTGGGGAATTTTTAAGCTGAATACTGACTGGCCTTCCACAAGGGCATTTGGAGTGTTGAATAAAACCTACCACATTATAATGTGCATTCAGGATGATTGGGCTCTTCAATTGCTCTTTTACAGGAGAAAGATGCACTGGTAAATTTTATATTTGTTGGTCAAATAAAGTTAATTTCCTTTTGGTGGATCCTGAACCACAATATTTTTGGGTATCAACCCTGCAAAGAGTCAGCTCTGCAAATACTTACTACAAGATAAAAATCTTCCAGAGTACATTGTGAGCATTTAAGGATGTTCTGTATTCTAGGTTAGGTATGAGTGGTGTGTTTTTCTTTCTGTTAAAGTAAATTCACACATGACATCTGCACTGCATCTATTATTATGCATTAACTTTTTAGAACCATACTCCTTATATTGTTAAGAACAACGGTGTTACTGTGCTCAGAAAAAAAAATACAGTTTGCAAAATGCTAGAAAGTAACAGTATAACTCTAGGTCTAGAGGAGAGAGTATGGCTTCTTTTTTTTTATCGTGCATTTATTTAACAGTAAAGCATTTAACTTGTTCACATTTATCCTGTATAGAAGACAGTCTTTATGTCAGACCAACCTAGTTATTACTCCTTCTATATCCACAGTTCACACAGATAATGCAGCAACAACATTCCCAAGGAAATTAAGGTCTAAGCACCAAACTGATCACAGTGATAAGCAGCTACTGTTTCTGCAATATCTTACTTAAGTAGCTTTGCTAACAGTTCACCCCCAGTTTAAAATAAACAACCAATTACACAGAAAAACAAACTTTCTGTGATAAAGCTGCAAGGCTGCTTGGACCTTTTGTGAATTTCATACCAAACATTGACAAAATCAGAAGAAAAACTAGGGGGAGAAGCAACAAAAAGCACCTAGCCTATATTTTATTGGTGCACTGCACATAAGAAAACACTCAGCAAGTTACCTCTACATATATATATATATATATATATATATATATATATATATATATATATATAGGAATCACGATTTTAAAACCGCAAGAATTGCCTTCCAAAAAAATCAAAGTGCATCACCTGGTGTAATTTTAAAGTAAAATAAAATCTGATTATGAATAAAGCAGTGCTCTCCTAACTTAATTGAAATTTTAATCTGTAGGAAAGCAGCTATTACAAACTTGCCAAAAATTACCAAATAAAATATCTGAGATAATAATGCCTTCTTTAGGGGCATTTCTTGAATGCCTCTAAAGAAGACCTGTGTACAAAACAATCCTTCTTACTCAGTGCACATAAAGTTTGATAGAGAGAAAGCGCACACTTTGCTATGGGATTAAAAATCTCAGAGTTCCTTGTGCTGACTTTACAATTCAATACAACTATTGTTTCCTTCGAGTGTGGTTTGGATGAAGTGCAACAGACAGATTCTCACGGGGAGAAACAAGGAGGCGGGAAGATATAAAAGGCATCATTTTGAAAAAGCATTTTTGTGGTCTCACACACACACAGCAGGATTCAATAATTCAAACAATGGCCCTGTCCTCTTCCCCAGGAACTGAATTTAACCGAAGATGCAGGTTTACCTTACCTGACTACACCAGATCGGCCAAGGAATTCCTACAACTACTTCTCTCCTTTGGTAAACCTGGGAGGTATTACGGGATTTACAAACTCCTAATCACTACACAAAACTGTGGTCACTAACAGAGTGAATTCCCACCATAGTATATGGGCTTCTTTTTACCACTTTAATTGCAAACAACAAAATTTAACACACGTGTCCCATTTAAAATACATTCATAGCTCTACCCCACTGTAGGAGTAACTGGACATGGAACATATTACAACGATACTTTTTTTTGGACATTATGACATTTGATACATTTATTTTCATTCCTAGGAGCCTCCAGAGGGTCAGAAGCTCCTGCTGCAAGAGGTGCTGTGTGCCAGTGCATGGGAAGTCTGGGCCAGAGCACACCACTTCTTCCTGAGCCATTGGACAGGGAAGAGGCCCTGCACAGAGCAACATGGGACCTTCTCCTCTGCTGCCAATCACAAGGGGAGCAGGTCACCTTCACCTCTGGGCCTGCACCTCATCAGCTGACACCACTTCCCCAGCGCACCAAGATGGGTGAAGCTAGGCTTGCTCAACTTCCTCATAAATCATCCTCTGCTCCCAGTCTCTTCCACTGTCCTCATGGCAACCACCTCACCTTCTGTGACTGTGAATTTCAACTCACAGCTGCAAGGAGCAGGCAGAGTATCACGACTCCTGCCATGTGGCGTGCCAGGAAAGGCACATGGCACTCCACACTGGTACTGCTAAACCCCCCTAGGTTACCAGCCACCCCTTCTATACAATACAGAAAACCTGGAAGAACTCGGCCTTCCTGCAGAACTGAACAGCACCTGTAGAGATCTCAACACCTCTGAAGAGATCTCACAGCATTTGCTTAACAGTTTGGACTTGAAGAGGAAATCAAATGTTTTACCCTTGGTTCATTGCTTCATATAGTGAAACTGTTAACCTTCCTTTTTTTGAATGGAGCAAACCCAGACATACTAGGTTTTTAAGGACTTGTTTCTCTGTACAGAGCTGCAACAGGAACAAAATGCAACTATTTTAACATATTTTAGATACAATGGGTACCTGCAATTGCCCTACAACCACCTACAATGCATTTTACCCATATTTGTTATCCCTGCACTCTATAATGACCAAAAGCATTTTCCTTGTTAGCTTTTCCATCTCCCCACCTAATTACAACTTAACTACAAATTTTCCCTTAAGCAGGGTGTCAGTAAAGAATGCTACATAAATTCACTCCTCTCCCAGAATGAAGATCAACCAAACACTGAAAAGCAGTTATTACATTTCCATATTTTTTCCATCATCATGACTTGATATGATCAAGTTGTTGTGTTAGGGTTTTTTTAAACTTTAATTCAGCCCATTTTGTTATCTTAAAAGACAAAACTGCATGTAGCTGGTTTTTAGCAACTGTGATAGCTGATTACTTAGATAAAACCATCAGCAGACTGCACAGACTAAGGATACTTTTCTCTATTTCAAAACATAATTACAAACAAGCATACCGTAACCCTGCTTGTGATAAACAAGCTGGCAGTGAGTGCCCAGTAGAGTGAACTAAATTAAATTTTCAGTTATAGAGAAGCCTAGGGTCCTAAAAGCCAGCCTTAAAATAACTGATTTATTTACTTGATTAAATTTAAATGGGAAAACCACAGTCTTTTAAAACTTCATTGTAAAACCAGCAGGTAGCCCAAAATCTATAAACATTCATTTGGATCCAAATTATGTTGGCTATATAGCACCAACATGTAATGAAACTCTGTAAATATCCAGTGTGAATAAAATTTTGTGCAAAGTATTTTTTATTCCACAAACTACCTCTTTATATGTCTAACTACCTGACCTCTCCTCTCAAACACCATTTACTCAGTCCATGGGAACTACCTATATTTTTACAGAGGACTACAGGCCTCTCACTCATGAGACAGTGCACATGCTGTCTGCCAACAGAGATACCTTAAAAAACCCAAAGCACATAATAATTTGACGTTGTTTTCTTACCAACAGCTTTTATCATATTAACCTATGAGAAGAAATGTCAAGAAAAGTTCGTTTATACTATGTTGAAAATATCAGTGTTAAGGGTGTAATTTATACAGCCACTGTGTTTTGGTTTCACTGCACAGACACTAGACATCTTGCGAAAACATCAAAACACCTTACAAAAGTTTTAAGCAAAAATTTCTTGAGGGAGAGAATTCCAATTTATTTTTAAAAATTAAACTCATCAGGTTCCCCTTTTTACTTAATTTCATGCAGCCTTGGGCCCAAATTTATTGCAGGTAGATTGTAAAGCCAGTGCTGAACATGAACAGAGGCATTAAAAAAACGGAACCGAGTTCTGTTAACTTCCAAAACTTTTGCCTTCCCTTCAAAAACCAACATATTAAGAGATGGCAAAGTGAGAAGAGGGGAGAGAATGTATGGTTTTAGCTTTTCACACGTATTGAAGGCTCGCTCCGAGACCCCGCGCTGTGCTGGGATGCTGCCAGCAGGGCCGGTTCTCCAGGGAAGCACGACCTTTTCCTTCGCCCCGGCGGCGTCCGCTCCGGGGGCGCATCCCGGCCGCGCACCCCGGCCCCGGCAGCCCCTCCGGGCGGGGCGCCCGCCGCCCCCTCCCGCTCGGGCAAAGCCCCGGGGCGGCCCCGGTACCTGTCAGTCTCCGGCGCTCGGGGTGCGCCAGGGCCAGCAGCCTGCGAGCCTCGAAGCGCGGCGCAGCGCCCGCAGCCCCCCGCGGCGGCTCCGCGCCCGCCGCGCTGCTCAGGAAGCGCGGGGCGCCGCCCGCCGCCGCCGCGGGGAGGAGGCGGCGGCGGTGGTAGGACGGGGATCTCGGCGGCAGCAGCAGCAGCGACGGCGGCGCGGGGTGCGCCCCGCACCTGCCGGGCGGGCGCGGCGGGGCGCGGAGCCCGGCGGCCGCGGCGGCCGCCCGAGCCCAGGGGGGCGGCGCCGCCCGGCGCAGCAGCGGCAGCAGCCAGGGCAGGCGCGGCGCGTAGCCCGCCATGCGGCCGGCGCGGCACCCGAGCTGCTGCTGCGGTCGCAGGTCCCCGCCGCGCGGGTCTGCGGCGGGAGGAGGAGGAGGAGGCGCCTCCGAGCCGCCGCCGCCGCCCATGGGCCGGCGGCCGGGAACCCGCGGCCGCGCGGGCCCGGCCCGGCCTGCGGCGCGCTGATAAGGCTGCGGCTGGCGGCCTCCTCCCGGCCGTCCCGGCCAGCGCCCTCTGCCGCCGCCCGGCCCGGGAAGCGACGGGAGCGGGCCCGGGCCTGCCGAAATGGCGCCCGAGAAGACAGGGGGGGGTCCTCGCTAGTGCGTATAAATATCTCAAAGGCAGGTGCCAAGAGGATGGTGCCAGACTTTTTTCAGTGGTGCCCTGTGAGACAGCGATGAGCAGTGTCTTAAGTGAAAGCATAAGAAGTTCTATCTCAATGTGAGGAAGAACTTTACGTTGAGGGTGGCAGAGCACTGGATTAGACTGCCCGAGGAGGTCGTGGATTTTGCTGTTTGGAGACATTAAAAACCCACCTAGACATGTTCTTGTGTCACCTGCTCGAGGTGACCCTACCTTGCCATGGGGTTGGACTCGAAAATCTCCAGCGGTCCCTTCTAACCCTAACAAGTCTATGATTGTTTGAGCCTGACCTGCCCTGCCCAGTGATGGCAGAGACCCACCTGAGAGGGAAGGGAAGCTGAGGCAGCCGATCCCAGGAGAAGAAAGCAGGGACTTGGCCTCCTCCCTTGTTTCTCCCTTCCAGGCCTGCATGGGTTGCAGTATCTCCAGCCATCTCAGGCTGGCCACTGAACCTTGCTAGCCTGTGTCCATGGGTTTGGTTTTGGTCCAAACAAGGAAAAAAGTCCATCCAGAGGAGAGCTGCCTTTTGGGGACACCATGTGCCTGATCCCATGCTCAGGCTACTGTCTAAAGGATCGATATAAACTGGCCATGCTTGGGTTAGAGCCCACAGGATTAGAAGGACTAAAGGGTTCAAATGGAAAGAGAGGAAATTTAGGATAGATATTAGGAAGAAATTGTTTACTCTGAGGGTGGCAAGATACTGCAACAGGTTACTCAGAGAAGTTCTGGATGCTGTATCCCTGGAAATGTTTAAGGCCAGTTGGGATGGAGCTCTGATCCAGTGGGAGGTGTCTCTGCCTGTTGCAGGGGAGTTGGGACTAGATGGTCTTTAGGTCCCTTCCTACCTGTTAACGTTACTATTTTTTTCACATATCACTGCTCAAGGTGTGAACCATTTACCAAACAATCTCCTGCCCCAAACCTGATTTAGGAAAAAGAAACCAAGTCATAACTTTCCTGTGGTCACACAGTACCAGCAGCCAGAGCAGGGAACTGACTGTCCTG